ACACTCGCCGCCCCTGCAGATTCTCCAATGATGGTGATGTTGTTGCTGTCACCACCAAACGCTTCAATGTTAGTCTTGACCCACTGGAGCGCCAGGTGTTGATCCCATAATCCGTAGTTACCTGGAGCGACGTCATTTCCGGTACTAAAAAATCCGAATATTCCCAATCTGTACTGGATGGTGACGACTATAACGTCACCTTTTGTCACCAATTGCCAAGGCTCGTACAAAGAAGCGGATCCATACACGAATCCTCCCCCGTGTATCCAGACCATCACCGGCACACTGGACGATACATCGGTTGTATTTGGCAGGAACACATTCAACGTGAGACAGTCTTCACTCATAGCTGGAAAGGAAAAGTTCAAAGGGAGCATTGGCGATCGCTGGAGACATGGCAGTCCATAGCTCGTAGCATTAAATATGTCAGAAACTCCTGGGTGTGGTTGAGGTTTTCTGAATCGGAGATCTCCAACTGGAGGTTTCGCGTACGGGATACCGTAGTAGCCAAAGTAAGGTTGTCCTTCCCTACTGGTTCTCTCCACTCCCTGTATATATCCCCATGTGGAATTTATCTCTGGTGCATCCATCCCTACAGCAGGGAGGACCAACATGGACACAATAATCAGCTGAATCATTTTAAACTCCGCTACATTGGACGGTGTACTGACTTTCGTGAACAACTTTCCCACCACTCCTCACCTGTCCTTCTTGACTGAGATCCTCGTATTGAATATTGCGAATTGTTGTTTCCTGTCCTGTTCGCACAGAGTGATTTGTATTTACTATTCACTGACTGTTTACATACCGGATTAAGGCGTTCCTGGTGTTGACATATGCTCGTACAATCTGTACTGTCAATACGCCCAGGTATGTGCTTGTGAGAGTCACGTGTGTGACCTATATTTGACAGGCGTAGTAGATACGGTATGACCTTTAGTCAGAATAACAAGACAGTGGTACCGGTAGCGCACTTTGCCCCAAATACCTGGTTTCAGAGCCAGCAGTGATCTTTGTGTTGTATGCATAGGATAGTTATCATAGTTTTGTGTGCCTAACTTCACAACCGAAAGCTAGCTGGTTGCCTTGGTAACTGTTCTTGATGCTGTTACTGGTATTGTATAAGGGGCATAGCAGTTCAGCGGAGGTGGGAGATATATGATTCTAAGCGATGCTTTAATTTTGATCACCACAGCTTGTCATCTAACACAACTTTGACACTTGCTATCAACACTATGTTATAGTTGTTTACACATATGTTTATGATGAAGTCTTAATCTTACAGTTGACTCTGCATCTTGCAGATTTCTCATGGATTTGGAAAGAGTTTGTCCCTTCTAAAGTATTGCATTCTACAGATTGAAATATACTCTCCCAAAAAAGAAACGCATCATAAAAATAGCAATTTCATGTAGCAATGAATTAAAACGTGATTCATTTTACAAAAGGTTTTGCTCTGTTTATGAGTCCTGTGGTGTTTATGTTTTGAAACATCACAACAAAACGCACCATCCGTAAAATACCCGTATTTAACAGCATGATTTTCAATTTCGGCGTGTAGTGTCACAGAATAAACAATTCACATGCAATGCACGTGAAAGTTGGGGATAAGATACTCTCAATGATGGGTATAAAAGGTTGATCGCTGTCTGTCGATTATTCACTGTATTTGGAATATTGTTGACGAACGCAAAACGCAACGTCTAAGTGAAGCCAACCGTCATATCGCCATTGCTTTTCTTGAAGCTGGCCAGTCTCAACATGCAGTTGCCCGACGCATGAATGTTCACGAAAGCACCATTTCACGGCTCTGGGAGAGATATCGCCGGCAGAATTCGGTAGCAGATGCCCCTCGTAATGGGCGACCTCGAGCGAACAGCTACGGCGACCAGTACCGCTCGACAAATACCCAGATTGAGGAGGCTTTCTGCACAGACTGTCAGGAACAGGTTGAGAGAGGCTCGTTTACGTGACAGAAGACCTTATTTTGACCCTGTGCTTCGACAACAACATCGTCGACATCGAGTTCAATGGTGCACCAACGTTCAGGCCTGGGACCTACCGAATTGGCGTAGAATCTGGTTCAGTGATGAATCACGATTTCTACTGGAACGACGCGATGGAAGAATGGGGGTGTACAGACGTCGACGTGAACGTTTCGACGACGCTTGCGTTCCCCAGGTGGACAGATTCGGCCGGCAAAGTGTTATGATGTGGGGGGTGATCACCTGCCAAAGGAGAAGTGATTTGGTGATGATCCAGGGCAACCTGACAGCTCAACGGTACTGTGACGTAATCCTACGCCCACACCTCCTTCCAATCATTGATCGCCAGAGGGAGTTGTTTCAACAGGACAGTACGAGGCCCCACACAGCACGTCACACTAGAGACTTCCTCCAGAACCACAACATCAATGTGCTCCCCTGGCCCTCAAGATCACCGGACTTAAACCCGATCGACCAACTGTGGGATGCCCTGGACAGACGGGTGCGACGCCGTAACCCTCAGCCCCAGACACTTCAGCAACTTGCACAGGCACTACAGGCAGAGTGGGCTGCGATTGGGCAACACGAGATTCATGAGATTCATGAGACTTATTCGTTCGATGCCGAGGCGATGCCGTGCAGTTCTGGATGCCCACGGTGGTCACACGAGGTATTGACTTCAGCGCCACCACACGTCTCCATGTGACACTCAAACTGACTTTCCTCGAGTTGGTGCCAAAGACGGATAAATCTGCATTCCCAGTGTGCAATTTCGCTATATTTCATTGACTCATAAAGCCTAAATGATGTTTCAAAAGAAACATAAAAATACAGTTGAAATTCCTACATGCGTTTCTTTTTGGGGCGAGTATATAATGAATCAGTGAGAGGTCTGGTTGGACATGGCACAGTCTGGCTGGTAAGGATCATGATCAGCTCAGGTACACTTGCCCTGGCTACACGCAGCCCAGACAGCGAATGTAACTTCTCCCAGGAAGCGTTGCCCAGTTGCACGCAGTAATCCCCCACCCACCCCAATATTGTAAACTATCCAACACTGCAGCCTTCTGCATTACCCAAAGTGTCAGAAGGGCTATGCTCCCGATGAAGAGATCAGGAGGTACCAAACCACCTAGAATCTTGTTAATTACCTTTATGGTTTACAGATTAAAAGTAGTATAAAGCACAGAGAGAGCGTGAGTTGTACTGGCACAGTCAGGCGGGTAGCATTTTTTTTTCAGTTCAGGTCCCGTTGCGTTGTCTACACGCAACCCAGACAGCGAATGGGACTTCTCCCTGGAAAAGCTGCCCAGTCGAACCCGCCAAGATCTTTCCAGAGAATATGAAGACTCCCCAACACTGCAGCGTTCTGCATGACCCAGAGCGTCAGAAGGGCTGTGCTTCTGGTATAGAACCTGGGCACTTTCCTGATCTGCGCTTAGAGATCAGGAGGTAGCAAATCACGGGCACCGAGAACAATGGGGGTCTGACGAGAAAAAGGACATTCAATGATATAAATAAATTTATTGGCTCAAAAAGGCCACGATCAGTTTTTGGCAGAAAATCTTCTTTGTCTGTATGTGGGTCTATTCCAAAGAAGTTAAAAACATGATACCGTGGACACCTTCAGAGTCGTACCGTGGATGGACCTTGGACTCAAAGATACAGGCATGAGGAAGACCTTCGTAGAAGCAACAAACCATGCCATCATGCCGTTTTAGACACCGGACCAAAAGCCGGATAGTAAACCATTGAAATAAACGTAAATACAGTAGGAAATACATGCCATGACCGGATGTACGTATGTTTTCAGATATTTCCTAACTTCGGGCATATATTTCATATGAATCTATACCTTTGAAACATATGCTCATCGTAGATTTTCGTATGCACAAGCACCTCGTTCATGTATGCCCTGACCGGATTGTCAGGGATTTCCAAATATGAATTGCAAAACAGATACCCCGTTAAATACATGATCATACAGTATTTCCAATGCATTCCTTTGAATTTCAGTGGGTGTTGAAATTTCCGATTTCGTTCTAAGTTTACTCGGGTTGGAAACATGTGAATTTACTTAGGTGGGGAAACACATGTAAATTTTCAAATTTGCAAATATTTACACACCTTACATATTTATGTATCATACCGGATTTCATGGATATGCTGTTTTTGCCAAGGACATTCACTGACAAGGAGCTTACAGTCCCTGTATATTCATTGCACAATCGACATTTGTAATGATAATACTAGTAATCAGGACAATTGTATAACACTGATATCCACACCTCATGGGCATGCTTAAAGTGCTTACAACAGTGCAAGTCAATTTTAATATCTCCCAAAGAGATAGGTCTTGAGATGAGCTTTAATAACATTGCATGTAAATATTTTCTGCAAGAATGACATTCTAACAAATGCGAGTAGGAAGGGACTGGTCCCGGTTGGCCTAAAGTATTGTCATTACTTTTATCATTATTATTAATTAGAGAAAAGAAAATAGATATGAAACTCTGCCACAAAAAAATACCCAACATGTATTGTAATGTTATCGTTGACGTCACATGATGTCAATGGATGTGTTTAATGAAAACGATGAGTTGACAATTTACTCAAAATTGGGAATAGTCTTTAACATGTCAATTCGGTACACGGCGATGGATGCCCAGTACCCAACAATTTCTGCTGTGTGTTATTTTGATCCCCATCACTGATAAAGGTTGTTTTTGAGGATCGCTCAAACCTGATATTCTTTAGAACTGACGTTGTATATTCAAGACACTATTATGTTGTTATGTGTACACATTTACCGTTGATCGTTACCAACAGCAGAAATGTGGCACATGCTATAAATGAGATTACACTTTCTCAGTAAAGGACAGATTCAAAAACCTTTGTTGAATCTCATCCGGGATTCGAACCCACAAATTCAAAGTTAGGCATCTACTCGTCAGCACACAACGTCAGCAAAATTAATGTGTTCTTTCATGACGAATAATTAATGAAAAGCATTGCTTGAAAAAATCACTAATTTTATTTTCAATTCTTGTGCTTTGCATAATGGGTTGTTGATTCAGAAATAGGAAATAGCCGATCTGATGGATGAGACTACAATTGAGAGTTGTGAAGATATTAATCTCAACAACAACATTAAATGTGGTCCTGTAGCTTCAACAGAAGTATGGTCGATACAATGATTATTTGTCTGGTGCCGTCATGACAATGTATCAATCCCGTGTTTCCTCCGCCTCAAACAGTAGCACATGACTATTGTCACCAGTAACAGGCCCACGACACATAGAGTTACAATGAGGGCCAGGATAGTCACCTCGGCCGTGTGAGCGTCCAGTCCGAACCATGTAGGGGCAGATGTGGTTGGTGTTGTAGTGGACGTAGACGATGAGGAAGTTGTAGAAGTGGTGGGAATTTTCATGAGGTTGGGGATGATGTCCAGCCACAGGGTCACTCGTCTGGGGTAGACGTGGTCACGTACTGACATGTTTGTTGTGAATGTCAGGTAACGCTGGTCGGCCATATTGAACTCGGGCCATGCCTGTCCAAGCTTTTCCTGAACAGCAGGGTTGGGGTTACTGTGAAAATAAAGTAATCACTTTGAAAGACTGATGGATATTCCCCTCATATGAGCGAATGTACAAGTATCGCCGTGTTTTTAGACATATGTATTGTCATTTGAACGTATTACATTAAACGACACCTGGCTGATGACACACTCTACATGACGATTGTGGAAATAAAATGATGATATCAAATGAAAACAGTTACGTACCCAGTCTTGGCAAAGTCAGCAATGAAAGAAACAAATGTTTCCGCCAGCTGATACTCCTCTGCCGTCAGGTTCCCTGAGTAGCCAAGCATCTTGACCGTGGCCGGATTCAAGTCGAACAGATACAAGGTGTCCACTCCATGGCTCATGCCTTTCACAGGGCTATCTCTGGCGAAGGATGGATAGTGGTCAAATAAGTAGAAGTAACACTTCCTGCTGGTGTTCAACAACGCGTGCGTCCTGGCAAAGAGGACTCCCGGTACTAAGAAGCTAGGGTCACCGTATGTTGAAAGTACCTGTTCTTGAGGCAGCGGCTGGTCGGATGGTGGTCGGGGGTAGGTGTACTCAACGCTGACGATATTATTGATGGATGTAGTGCTAGCTTCTAATGACAATGATGTAACTGTTGGGAGAATATCTGTATCAAACTCCTTCTGCTTGAAAATGTCGGTAGCGTATGTGTAATTATATGCCCTGTCGAATGCTAGAGCACTCGTCAACAGGAGTCCCCCTTCGTTGTTGTTGGCCCCTACCATAACGTCGATGTCCTTGATACATGTGGTATTTAAGAATGTGATGTCTCTCATTAAGACTTGGGGATTGTTTTTGACAAAGATTCCATCAATGGTGGGGACCCACGTGTACTGCATGAGCTGGTAGGCTGGCGTCCCCAAAACAGAAGAAAAGGCTAACACTCTGGTACTATCGTTCTTCCTCATACAGTCTACCATGGCCCGTTGTCTGCTGATAATATCCGGGTTATCACCAAGGCAACCTAAACTGCTTCCAACAAACATCGCTAACAATTTGATATATCTGTTGATCGCCCAGAGAGATGTGGCAGCTCCACTCTGTAGAACAGCTCTCTGGAACAGCCCCTTTGACCCCGGGTACAACACGTGATAGGCCACACTCGCCGCCCCTGCAGATTCCCCAATGATGGTGATGTTGTTGCTGTCACCACCAAAAGCTTCAATGTTAGTCTTGATCCACTGGAGCGCCAGATGTTGATCCCATAATCCGTAGTTACCTGGAGCGACGTCATTATCGGTACTAAAAAATCCGAATATTCCCAATCTGTACTGGATGGTGACGACTATAACGTCACCTTTTGTCACCAATTGCCAAGGCTCGTACAAAGAAGCGGATCCATACACGAATCCTCCCCCGTGTATCCAGACCATCACCGGCACACTGGACGATACATCGGTTGTATTTGGCAGGAACACATTCAACGTGAGACAGTCTTCACTCATAGCTTGAAAGGAAAAGTTCAAAGGGAGCATTGGAGATAGCTGGAGACATGGCAGTCCATAGCTCGAAGCATTAAATATGTCAGAAACTCCTGGGTGTGGTTGAGGTTTTCTGAATCGGAGATCTCCTACTGGAGGTTTCGCGTACGGGATTCCGTAGTAGCCAAAGTAAGGTTGTCCTTCCCTACTGGTTCTCTCCACTCCCTGTATATATCCCCAGGTGGAATTTATCACTGGTGCCTCTATCCCTACAGCAGGGAGGACCAACATGGACACAATAATCAGCTGAATCATTTTAAACTCCGCTACATCGAACGGTATACTGACTTTCGTGAACAACTGATTTCCCGTTTATCAAAACTGTCCTTCTTGACCAGATAATGTCACGTTGCGAAATGTTGTTATCTGAGCTCAATGTTCTCACAGCTTGGATACTGAAATTTATATGAGATTGTGGCGTTCCTTAGATTGAGATGTGGTCCGATATTCATATTGTGTAATTTGATGTATCCAAGCTGTAAACGGTCTGCACAATCCGCTCTTCGGGACGCCCTAGCTTGTAATGTGCACCTCGTGGGTGGTGTTTAGCGTCCAGTGCTTACGAGAGAGTCACGTGACCTGTAATCTTTCAGGTTCCTGCGCGTGACATCGTCGCTGGGCAGAGTGTGGCCAGGGCATATCAAGTTCAGTGTATTTCTAAATCGTTATCTTTATTTAAGCTCGCCGTGTCGGCAGATACCATTTGTGGAGGCTGGTTCCCTAACGTCATGTACCTAGCATCATACTCAGGAGATATAAAAGTCATACCAATTAGCAGGCCATGAACAGGATGTCTGCTGTCGTCGCGTACCTAGCGCCAATCCCAAGGTGCCTACTGACGCCGTATATCTAGCGTCATATCAAGGTTGCCTACTGACATTGTATATACCTAGCGCCAAGCCCAGGATTTCTACTTACGTCGAATACCTAGCGCAAAGCACAGGATGCCTACTGACGGCTTATGCCTAGCGCCAAGCCAAGGACGTCTGGTGTCTACTGACATTGTATGAACCTAGCGCCCAGCCCAGGATGCCTACTGACGCTTTATACCTAGCGCCAAGTCCAGGTCGCCTGGTGCCTACTGATATTTTATGTACCTAGCGCCAAGCCCAGGATGCCTACTTACGTCGAATACCTAGCGCAAAGACCAGGATGCCTACTGACGCTTTATACCTAGCGCCAAGCCCTGTACGCCAGGTGCCTACTGATATTGTATGTACCTAGCGCCAAGCCCAGGATGCCTACTTACGTCGAATACCTACTGACGGCTTACACCTAGCGCCAAGCCCAGGACGTCTGGTGTCTACTGACATTGTATGTACCTAGCGCCAAGCACAGGATGCCTACTGACGGCTTATACCTAGCGCCAAGCCCACGACGCCTGGTGCCTACTGATATTTTATGTACCTAGCGCCAAGCCAAGCATGCCTACTGTCGTCGTATACCTAGCGCCAAGCCCAGGATACTTGCTGACATCGTATACGCAGCGTCATGTCCAGGATGCCTACTGACATTGTATACCTAGCGTCAGGCCTAGGATGCCTACTGACGGCTTATACCTAGCGCCAAGCCCAGGACGCCTGGTGTCTACTGACATTGTATGTACCTAGCGCCAAGCCCAGGATGCCTACTGACGGCTTATACCTAGCGCCAAGCCCACGACGCCTGGTGCCTACTGATATTTTATGTACCTAGCGCCAAGCCAAGCATGCCTACTGTCGTCGTATACCTAGCGCCAAGCCCAGGACGTCTGGTGCCTACTGACATTGTATGTACCTAACGCCATGCTCAGGATACTTGCTGACATCGTATACGCAGCGTCATGTCCAGGATGCCTACTGACATTGTATACCTAGCGTCAAGCCTATGATGCCTACTGACGGCTTATACATAGTGCCACGCCCATGACGCCTGGTGCCTTCTGAGTTTTATGTACCTAGCGCCAAGCCCAGGATGCCTACTGTCGTCGTATAACTAGCGCCAAGCCCACGACGTCTGGTGCCTACTGACATTGTATGTACCTAGCCCAAAGCCCAGGATGCCTACTGACTGCGTATATCTAACGCCAAGTCCAGGATGCTTACTGACATGGTATACCTAGCTACATGTCCAGGATGCCTACTGACGCTGTATACCTAGCTCCAAGCCCAGGACCTCTGGTGCCTACTGACATTGTATGTACCTAGCGTCATGTCCAGGATGCCTACTGTCGCCGTATACCTTGCACCAAGCCCAGGATGCCAGTTGACATGGTATACCTAGCATCATGTCATGCACTCTCTCCGAGCTGAGTGTAAGAACGGAACGTCCCACGTTGACAGGATGTCCACTTGGATGGATGTTGGAGATACTAGTCAGTTGTTGACTGGTTACATCAACGTCAATGTTAAGAAAGTAACCTTGTTTATGGATAACAACTTCTTTATTATATATGATGCGACGTTTCGGTATGGATTCTTATACCGTTGTCAAGCAAGAGTGACAGACTTATATATTATGTGCTGTAGTACTTCACTCTTGCTTGACAACGGTATAAGAATCCATACCGAAACGTCGCATCATATATAATATAGAAGTTGTTATCCATAAACAATCTTACTTTCTTATTAGTCACCAACTACTAAATGCCAATTAAACAGATCAACATCAACGTTAGTTCGTAGTCACGTTGATGCTCGCCTAAATATGCTGCTTGGTTGAATATTTGCTTCAGATAAGCACAGGTGATATTGCTCTTGCTACACACAGACAGATCCCCTAGCCACCCTACAAAGTTAAACTCAGAACCATTCATCCTACTTGCTACTTCGTCTATGTTCTGCCTATAACCCAGGTTTATGGTTGAAGTTGAACCACATTATTTTTCAACAGCTTAGCAATGCAAAAAATGTCCAAAATTTAGCAAGTCTAGATTTCCTCCTTATTTCCCATCTCACTGGGGCTCCATTTTAATTTAAATGAGTTTTTTTTGTTACTATCAAACTTAAATATATTCAGAGACTAGACGTTACTCTTTGTTGAAGTGTTTGACTTCCCAGGATAACGTATTATTGACATAGGTGCAAAGGAGTTACTTCCCTTCCATTTCACTCGCTTATCTATACTTAGAGCAATGGAATGTTACTGGTTTATCTGATGGTTAGGAATGATGGCTGTATATATAGACCCATTATCGAGATGACTACATTTATCGAGATACGACCCGTTATCGAGATGACTTCATAGCGGACAAGATGTTGCTCAGAAACTCAGAGTGGAATACGTTGAACAAACCAGTTAATACTCGATTTGTTTCACAGTTTATTTGAAAAGTGTATATTTATTATCTAAATGAACATGGTTTCATTCATAAGCTTGTCTGCGGACACGGAAGAGATCTTGTAAAATAAATAATAACAGTGAATAATATGGGGAATGACATTATAAATTGAGCTAATTGTTTGAAATATTTCATTATTAATTGATTAAAATCATTTGAAATTTTGATTGTCTGTTTGAAACAATAACAAATTGAATCAAAATAACTGCATGTATCAGCCATAACAGCGAGACCTAACGATGTATGAAGCTTACATTATGTATTTGTGAAAGATAATCAGACTCCACCCCCTCCCCCGGAAAAAAATGTCACAGGACATAATGTATTGTTGGAATATTTCCCTTGTCAAAACTGTCCTCATAGTTACATTCGACAAGTGATAGCGGTATAACCGCTCGGAAGCTGATTCCATAATCGACCCCCGGATTACTCGTAACCGAAAAAGCACGATGTGACGTTTAATCGTTCTTATACAAAAAACGTATGTATTCGCCTACAATGGGATCCTGTCTATTCACGGCATATGCCGAACTTACTGCCACTCACATAGAAATTGTTCAGGTATTTCACCGAGGATGAATTCATCAGGTTCTGTACCTGCTTGGCTGTTGCTCTGTTGATCCTGTTGTTACTTGTTGCTAATACTAAATTATCTTTAAAATATGTTCCATAACGTCACATGTCTCTCTAACAATGAATGTACAATGCATATATAAGTGAAATGTCGGATGTATTTGAAATAGCCAACTTATATAACAGTCCTCCATCTGCGCAGTGATGTCGTTGGGCACTTGGATTCCCAAATCTCCTTAGCAGTGTTCAGTGATGTCGACATCATGGCGCTCACTGTCGTTACTGTCGCAGTCACAGTAGCAGCAACAAGGGAGATAGACATACGTGCATATGTCCCTGATAATATCCATGCATACAGTTCTGTCAGCCAGCTCCGCGCTGGCATTTCATACGTAACATGTGATTGAATGATCTGATACACAATTGTATGTCTGCTTAGTTGATGACGTCATAGTCCAACGTCATCAAGCTCTCTCGTCATCTGGCATACTGCACACGGTTCACAACAAAGGGCCGCCCAGAAATCCTGGAGAATGGAGCCCTGAAAATAGAGGACGCATAGTGAACATGAACAAGTGACACTTGGAGTGAGTGAGGCAGTATTGACATCCAAATTTTGCTAGCCAGTCGGGCTAGCTATGCCTGATAATTACTAGCCCAAAAAATAATTCACTAGCCCGAAATTTGAATGTAGAAAGTAAACAAGACATTACAAAAAAATGTGAAATACCATCATTTATCAGGTCAGAATCTTGCATGATTTAAAACTCAACAAGTCGGAGGGAGTGATATATCTAAAATTTCGCACACTGATGTCAATTTCATCCTAACCCTAACAACCCCCTCCTCCTCTCCTCCCCCTCCCTCTTTCCTCTTGGACAACCTACAACATTCCACTCACAAACTCAGATATCGCAGCAACAGGACTAGACAGCGTTTATGTTCCTACAGCTTGCACCGTTCACAAAGCGATCCCGGCGCTAAGGTGATCGTTACTCCCATGCTATAACATGGGCCTTCAAACATCGCCTCGTCAAGATAGCTTTTCCTAAAAGTGCCCGGGACAATTATTGTTAACTTGAATTGATACTTAGCAACTTCTTCCGGTTTCGATATGTATACACATAATAACTGCAACATTGTTTCATTATGCGACCGTTGTTGTCCACATAATCTGGGAGTGATGAAATAGTGTGTACATGACTCAAAACAATCTATTATCGCGGGTCAACGATAACGACAGAGACACGTGGTGTATGTCGACGAATATATTAGCAAAGTTAATAGTTAACCTCTCTCGGGTCATTCTGTTTCCTTTTACGTACGCTTCTGCATTGACTGCACATACCTAAAGTGTGACGTGGATTTCTTCACCTTCTGTCACACCATACATAGCCGCTAATAAATAGCCCACCATGACAAACAAGATGCATTAAAACTTACTTTGATACTGAATAGCGTTCTGACTTTGACTCTGAGGGCGAAGGCTGCGCATGGGATGAGGGACATGAAAGGGGTTTCCCCAACCCTGGTGGCAATGATGTACCGGTGGTACAGCCAGCAGCAGCTCATCATGCAGCCTGGAACAGATCACAGCATCCTGCAGTCTTTATTGTTTAATACATGCAGTCTGGAACAGATCACAGCATCCTACAGTCTTTGTTTGTTGTTGAATACATGCAGCCTGGAACAGGTCACAGCATCCTACAGTCTTTATTGTTTAATACATGCAGTCTGGAACAGATCACAGCATCCTACAGTCTTTGTTTGTTGTTTAATACATGCAGTCTGGAACAGATCACAGCATCCTACAGTCTTTGTTGTTTAATACATGCAGTCTGGAACAGATCACAGCATCCTACAGTCTTTGTTGTTGAATACATGCAGCCTGGAACAGATCACAGCATCCTTGTTTGTTGTTGTTTGTTGTTTAATACATGCAGTCTGGAACAGATCACAGCATCCTACAGTCTTTGTTTGTTGTTTTGAATACATGCAGCCTGGAACAGATCACAGCATCCTACAGTCTTTGTTTGTTGTTTAATACATGCAGCCTGGAACAGATCACAGCATCCTACAGTCTTTGTTTGTTGTTTAATACATGCAGTCTGGAACAGATCCACAGCATCCAGATACAGTCTTTGTTTGTTGTTTAATACATGCAGTCTGGAACAGATCACAGCATCCTACAGTCTTTGTTGTTTAATACATGCAGCCTGGAACAGATCACAGCATCCTACAGTCTTTGTTGTTTAATACATGCAGTCTGGAACAGATCACAGCATCCTACAGTCTTTGTTTGTTGTTTAATACATGCAGTCTGGAACAGATCACAGCATCCTACAGTCTTTGTTGTTTAATACATGCAGCCTGGAACAGATCACAGCATCCTACAGTCTTTGTTTGTTGTTGAATACATGCAGCCTGGAACAGATCACAGCATCCTACAGTCTTTGTTTGTTGTTTAATACATGCAGTCTGGAACAGATCACAGCATCCTACAGTCACAGCATCCTACAGTCTTTGTTGTTTAATACATGCAGCCTGGAACAGATCACAGCATCGTACGGTCTTTGTTTGTTGTTTAATACATGCAGTCTGGAACAGATCACAGCATCCTACAGTCTTTGTTTGTTGTTTGCTTGTTATGTTAGTTGTTTTACGCAATATTCCAGCTGTATGGCGGCGAAGTTGTTTTACGCAATATTCCAGCTGTCTGGCGGCGAACTGTTAATAATAGAGTCTGGAGCAGACAGTCCTGTGATTGACATCAAAAGTACCCATCAGTTGGGATACGATGACATGTGTCAACTAAGTCAGCGAGCCTGACCACCCGGTCACGTTAGTCGCCTCTTACGACATGCATGGGTTACTGAAGACCAGCTTCAGGGGTCAGGATTGTACGTCCATGTCGGGCAGTAACTGGACACATTTCTAAGAAAACATGGAATATTACTAATACAGGTTGAAAACAGAACCAGATATTCAGCATATCGGGCCAACTACTGGGTTACCCCATCACCATTTAATTGATAATTATCCTATGAGTTCCGCTACTTTCATCACCATTTAATTGATAATTTCCTAATTTTAATGGGCAGAAAAAAGAAGCGTTTCGGTGAAAATCTTGATGACATGGGCAGTTTTGAAGATATGATGCGGTGATTACAGTTATTTGTGACGTGCGAAGAGGTTGCGTACAATTTCGTCTGCCTTTGCTACACTCGCATAACCCGGATGTCCATTCCCTCTCACTGCAGGAATCGTCCGCGGGCATCAACAACTGGACACGGGTCAGTTTCTTCGGCGTTGGTCGGGGCTGTGACGTCACAATGGAAGTTTGGTCGGGGGTGGTCGGGGTAGCGGTAGACCTCTCGTCCAGATCATTGTCGATTTCAGTCGGTGTTCGGCTCTGGTTCCAGGCCTCTGGGGAAGTTCGACCATCCACTGTAACAATAATACAACATTTGCTATAGTTAGTAACTGTTGAGGAGGACAAAAGCTGCATCTCGGTAAAACCTCAGTTGAGGTTAGGCAAAACAACAAAGGACCAGAGACTGCAGTCACAAACATTACGAATGTAATGTCGTACATTTGCCTTCAGAATTAAAAAGAACAACATGTGCCTCTTCTTAAATGAGGATATCTTATACCCCCTCCCGCCTGGTCTCACAGTCCCTGAACTGCACTACTTCCCCTTCCTCCAAGCCCTTTCTGCAAAGCCACTAACAACGCAAATCTAGAATTCCTCAGGTTCCCATACCATTGGGGCTCCCGTTCAATATAAAAGGAATTATTTGTTTCTGTCAAGATTATTATATATTAAAGTATTAGCCTACGGACTGCCTATGCAGGGGCGGATACAGCTTTTTGAGAAAGGGGGGTGCACACTCTTGAGAGATAATATTACAAGCATTGTCACTAAGGTGACATAATCCCCCGCCGCAAATTATCAAATCAAACTTATAAAGTAATGAAAGTTTAAGATGAAGTTATCTTGCTGTTAAGTTGTTCAAACACACACATATTTTCAAGACTGACTTTGACCTTGACATGAATGTCATAGTGTATGAAATATGCAAAACTAGTACTAAAGAAACTGCTTATTGAAAAACATTCAAGGGAGGTCTTGAAAGTCTATGAAGAAAATCCAGTGAACCGTTCTTAAAATATCTCGCTGACAATTCAGGTTAACATGCTGAAATCTTCAAAGTGTCGTCGTGACCCTAAAATGTATGTGAAGGTAACCAAAATTGACTGGGCCCTGGGCCTTCCATACATGAAGCTGGGTGACGAATATGAAGAAAATCCACTGAATATTGCTTGCGATATCTTGATGACTATCTTAACATGCGATTTAGCACGCTGAAATCTTCAAAGTGTCTCTGTGACCTTGGAAATTAAGTGAAGGCTTGTTGTTACATATGAAGAAAATCCAGAGAACGGTTCTTGCGGTAGCTTAACATGCAGGTTTACAAGCTGAAATTTTCAAAGTGTCGCCATGACCTTGGAAATTATGTGAAGGTCACCAAAATCAACTGGGCCCTGCGCCTTCCTCAGATAAAGCTTAGGGTTAAATATGAAGAAAATCCAGTAAATGGTTCTTGAGAAAGCTTAACGTGCAGGTAAAACTTTAAAAATTCCCTTGTGACCTTGAAATGAAGGTCATGGTCACCAAACCTGACTGACACCATCCTTTTACTGTGATGAACCTAGGTACCAAATATGAAAAGAATCCAGTCAACAGTTCTTAAGATATTCCAATTCGTACGTACGGACGTACGTACGGACGGACCGAGCCTAATACTATAATCCCCGCTTCGCGCTAAACGCGCGGCGGGGGATAATAAACTTTCAGGGCAAAAGGGGGGAAGGGGTGCGCACCCCTGCACCCACCCTCTGGATCTATGATACAAACGAACTAAACGAAGCGTACATTTTCCTCAGGATCAGAATCTGCAATCTCAGCGGGACTCATTTTTTAATTTAAATAGTGTTTTGTTTCTGTAAGAGTTATATATTTTCACAAGGCTCTAGGTTATCGAGGCCCCAAACTGTAGGTGTAATGAATTTAACAGATTCCAAACATTTCTGTACAAATGAGCTCTGAGTGGCGGCAGGGACTCACATATCCTGTTTTTTTATGGTTCATGGATAGACTACATACAAATGATATTAAAGTGTGTGTGTGAGTGAGTATGGTTTATAGCCGATGTTAGCAATATTCCAGCAATATCACGGTGGTGGACATCAGAAAATGCCGTCACACATTGAACCCATGTGGGGAATCGAACCAGGAGCGAACGCTTTAACCACTAGGCTACCCCCACCGCCCTTGATATTAAAGTAATGTGATGTGTTGTGTATGTGTCGTGTACCCACTGGATGAAAATGCGTGATCATTTTATCGTTTTCAAATGATAATCATTGAAAGGGACGTGGCCTGTGATTGAATGTGTTCACTTAGAGATACATCGAAGGTACAAAATAATGTAATCTCCACGCCTTGAGTAGTGGCACCATCGGACTGCCCAGTGAGAAGGGTTTGAGTGAAGACACGACCAAGGTGGAGATAGCAGACAACACTCCAAGACACTGAGGGGTAACAACTCATCCACTTGTCCGCCCTCCAGACAGTATTACTGTTTTCTCTAGTGTCTTTGGCGGCAATAAACCCTAAGCGCATGGTGTTTTGTGGTGTGTGCGACCAATCCGCACTACCAGATTTAGAGACATGTCATTAGTTACCCATAAACATTCAAAGCAAGCCTCTTCATTTCAGCACGTAAATGGCAATTCTGGAGCATATCACAGAAAGAATAGATACATAAATACACTGATTCGAGGAGTATTTGTACAGTTTTGTTTATATTGAGGAGACTGAGGAGAATTTAAACACTTGGATTTCAATGACATGGTGCAATTCCGTAAAGATGTAGCTATTTCGGTTCAAATTTCACCTTGCACTATGATTCCTTGTGGGTTATTCTCAGCGCGTCTACGTTCTCACTGAACTTCCCATCCCGCCAGCCCCAGCATTCATAACCCATAAATACCCACGGTGTTACCAGTCATCTGATACTGGCAGTACAGCGCTAGTCATCTGAAAATCAACTTGGCCTTTGCCCCCTACCTCAAAGCAGGCAGTGTGCTTGAGGGTCAACATTACATGAGCGCTCGACGGATGCAAGCTTATCACCGTCTCGCGCCATGCTGAGAGTCAAAAATATGGAAGCAAGAAAAAAAGGTTCCACTTCCCGGAAAATTTGAGGACAATTTATAATATCGAAACATTCTGCGAAAATACACTGTGGGTGAATCCTAGCTGTACATCATTCATGATAAATTCATCAGGTTTTAATGGGTGCTGTAGATTATCATATAATCATGTACATAAAATATGCATTAATGGATCCCTGTTTTGTTGTTATAAATATTTTTTGAGCAGGCCAACGAGACTTTGGTACAGGAGGTTGGTTGAAAAGAGAATGAAATATTTACATACCCTTTCTAGTCAATACGTAGACACAATTACCATCTTAGGTTTCTTGCTTGTCGAATGTGGGCTTGCGCAACTAAAATACACCCGTTTCTATGGCAACTAGATAGATATTATCTAAAGGCCAAACTGTTCACTGTTGTTCTACGTCATCAATGCACAACTGCCGCTAGCAAAAAACTACAATTTATGTTTTCGAGTGTGCACCAACTATTGCTTTACGTATAGCGTTCTGTCTGACATTCTGTACCGAGAGCCAGTTAACGGAGCACCTTCTCGCCCTCTGGCGGATGGGAAAGGCATCACACACAGTGCAATGCGTAGGAGAATCTGCTTTAGGAACGCGGAGATAAAATATGCCAAGATACTGTCCCAAACTGATTGTAGTAGAGACTGTAGTATATTGGTGACAGAGCATCATGAATAAAATAACACTGGCATAAATTGAACTGAACTAACTGATCCATTATAACATCAAACGCTTGCTTCAATCGCGTATGTGCAGTTCATATGAAGTTAAACGAAGTGAATATGAATCCCGCAAGACCTAATATACATTGTTACATACTGGCCGATCCCGGTTACCTTGGGGTCGGAACCCTCTGTAGATTATCGTTGAGCCTCCGAACATAAAAAAAAAATGAGTGCTTCAAATAGTTCCTTTGAATTGAAAAGGAGCACCAGTGCGATTCAGAATCTGAGGAAATCTAGGGCTTCAGCATATCAGAAAAGTCTCGGCTCCCGTCTGCATCTTGACAGAAACAAATAATTCCTGATAGATTGACAAGGAGCCCCAGTGGGATAGGAACAAAACCACACTATCAGATCTAAAGGTGATAATAGTTACAGAGCACGCCTCTTCAAATAAACACTTAGAGCTTCAGCATTTCAGAACAGACTCGGCTCATCGTATACATATAATCTTGACAGGAACAAATAATTCCTTTAATATTGAACAGAAGCCCAATTGGATGGGAACTTAAGGAAATGTAGACTTGCTTAGAGCTTTAGCATTTCAGAAAAAGCTGGGCGAAAGGGAAATATTGTCTGTGTCACAGTCCCTGAACCACATTAATGTGACTACTGCCTAGACGTCCCTGCAATGCTATAGTCCTAAACGAAGTCTAGCTTTCCCCAGCTTCAGGATCTACCATCTCACTGGAGCTCCTCTCAATTTAAATGGATTTATTTGTTACTTTTAAAATTATATTCATGGACTAAGCGTTAGCCTAGGGAAAATAATGAGGTTCAGGGACTGTGAGACAGACTAGGCGGAAAGTAGATGATGCGGTTCAGGGACTGTGAGACAGATTGGGCGAAAGGTAAATGATGCGGTTCAGGGACTATGAGAAAGACTAGGCGGAAGGTAAGTGATGCGGTTCAGGGACTGTGAGACAGATTGGGCGAAAGGTAAATGATGCGGTTCAGGGACTATGAGACAGACTAGGCGAAAGGTAAATGATGCGGTTAAGGGACTATGAGACAGATTGGGCGAAAGGTAAATAATGCTGTTCAGGGACTATGAGACAGATTGGGCGAAAGGTAAATAATGCTGTTCAGGGACTATGAGACAGATTGGGCGAAAGGTAAATGATGCTGTTCAGGGACTATGAGACAGATTGGGCGAAAGGTAAATGATGCTGTTCAGGGACTATGAGACAGATTGGGCGAAAGGTAAATGATGCGGTTCAGGGACTGTGAGACAGATTGGGCGAAAGGTAAATGATGCGGTTCAGGGATTATGAGACAGACTAGGCGAAAGGTAAATAATGCGGTTCAGGGACTGTGAGACAGTTTGGGCGAAAGGTAAATGATGCGGTTCAGGGACTATGAGACAGACTATGCAAAAGGTAAATGATGCATTTTTAGGGACTATGAGACAGACTAGGCTGAAGGTGAAAATGATGCGGTTCAGGGACTGTGAGACAGTTTGGGCGAAAGGTAAATGATGCGGTTCAGGGACTATGAGACAGACTATGCAAAAGGTAAATGATGCTTTTTTAGGGACTATGAGACAGACTAGGCGGAAGGTAAATGATGCGGTTCAGGGACTGTGAGACAGACTAGGCGGAAGGTAAATGATGCGGTTCAGGGACTATGAGACAGACTAGGCGAAAGGTAAATGATGCGGTTCAGGGACTGTGAGACAGTTTGGGCGTAAAAGGTAAATGATGCGGTTCAGGGACTATGAGACAGACTAGGCGAAAAGGTAAATGATGCGGTTCAGGGACTATGAGACAGACTAGGCGGAAGGTAAATGATGCGGTTCAGGGACTGTGAGACAGATTGGGCGAAAGGTAAATGATGCGGTTCAGGGACTGTGAGACAGATTGGGCGAAAGGTAAATGATGCGGTTCAGGGACTATGAGACAGACTAGGCGGAAGGTAAATGATGCGGTTCAGGGACTGTGAGACAGACTAGGCGGAAGGTAAATGATATAGTTCAGGGACTATGAGACAGACTAGGCGGAAGGTAAATGATGCGGTTCAGGGACTGTGAGACAGACTAGGCGGAAGGTAAATGATGCGGTTCAGGGACTGTGAGACAGATTGGGCGAAAGGTAAATGATGCGGTTCAGGGACTGTGAGACAGATTGGGCGAAAGGTAAATGATGCGGTTCAGGGACTGTGAGACAGTTTGGGCGAAAGGTAAATGATGCGGTTCAGGGACTATGAGACAGACTAGGCGGAAGGTAAATGATGCGGTTCAGGGACTGTGAGACAGACTAGGCGGAAGGTAAATGATGCTGTTCAGGGACTGTGAGACAGACTAGGCGGAAGGTAAATAATGCGTATCAGGGACTATGAGACAGACTAGGCGAAACGTAAATGATGCGGTTTAAGGACTGTGAGAAAGTTTATACCCCCTTGCTGCCCGGGACGATGACCCACAAATATACACTGACTTGGTTAAACGATAAGTGCCCAGTCGGACAAGAAAAATAAAACAAATATTTCCTCCAATGCTGAAACTACTGTTATACCATAGGTCATGGGTTATCATTTGATAATTAATACCATTTTTGAACTTTAAGAAAGGATGTATGACATTTTATGAAAGATCACATGGCAGACTGAATCAAAATATCACACCGGACACAACCAGACACCGGTACGTACTTAGCCTAACGCTTAGTCCCTGAATAAATGTAATTGTGATAGTAATCCGATTTTGATTGAAAAGGAGCCCCAGTGATTCATTGCCAGGGTAAATCTAGACTTGCTTCATTTAGGCCTCTAGCAGTGCAGGGAGGGCGAGACAGTAGTGAAAATAATGTGGTCCAGTGTCTGCAAGGACTAGTGCGCCGACATTCCGTCCAGTAGTAGGACATGTACAATATGTGTGTTGATACAAATCCATCCCTGTGAATCAGTTCCTACCAGTTACTAATTTATCATATACCTTGTATGAAGTTATCATCAAGATCAAACTGCAATCGCTGCCTGTTAGTGTATCGTGGATAATGTTGATTTGAGACACCATGACGTCACGGAAGTAGCGCCATTCATCACTGAATGACAACTGGTGGTGAGGTTATAGCCTTTCCCGTTACCAACTTAATCACTCGAAGGTTTGACTATTCTATTCAATATACCATACGATAATGGGAAAATCCCGAACTAGTTCTGTATATAGACGGGTATAATGACTTGTCATGCACCTGGGATATTGCTGGGTGTAAGGTTAAACAAACAAACAAAGCGTCAGATCATATACATACCATACTGACAAAAGCACAGAATAAGAAATTGCATAAAAGTAAATTACAAAAAAATAACAGTATGTTAATTTACTCATTACCTCTATCAGTATATTATCGCATATCATTTTCACATTTTGACACGCTTCGAAACACACTAAGTGTAAAACATCTTCACGAAAGTATGAAACTGATAAATATCAAACAGATAGCAATTAAACATAACAGACTATCATATTATCGTTATCCATGCGGGTAAAATGTCAATTCATCATTCGTTCTTCTGTACCAAAGATCATCATGCACACTGTTTACGTTGCCCCCATAATGGAAGACAGATCCCAGGCACTGCCAGCACACACAGCTGTCTAAGATACTATACAATATTTGTGTTAATGTCAAAACATAGATCACTATGAACAGGGTGAAAGCAGATGGGGGCGACATATTGGCCCCCCTCCCTGCGGTAGAATGCTGTGTACATCCTCCTCATCGCCGCTACACATACAGGTCCGCTGTGACCAGGGAGCATGCACTCAGCACACATGCGAGGAGAATATTTATCTTACCACTCATTTCTTGTACAAATTCCACAAATTTAGGATCCGGCTTCTCATGTAATGTTCCTTAAAGCTTCCTGCTTTTGAAGGTTACTGTTTCTGGTCAGCGCCCCATCATATGGCAACAGTTACGGTAGAGGGTGATGTAGGTGAAGTACTCGATACCGCCACAGTTTCAAAGCTTCACTTCTAACTAAAATCGTCTCAATTACTTTTGGCCCAGTTCAGAACATACCAGCAACCGGAAGGAGAGTCTGCGATTGCCTCGCACGTGAGCGCGTGCGCTAGCTAGGGGTACACCTCACCCAACGTGAGAAGGATGGTATGTATTGCACTCCATGTCGTCAAAATGTGCCGCCAAAGATTGGTCGGGGGTTAATGAGAGGGGTGTTATGTTCTCAAACAAGATCGGCACGGTAGCCCCGGTGCTTATCTTTGAACTATTTTATCTATCCGACATATTTGGATGGTTCCCATTCATCAAGATTGTCCACTAATGCCGTTCAGATGGAGCTGCACGTAACGATGTGCCGGGTCGCCATGAATGAAAGTACCCAGTGTGTTGATTCTTGTAGGGAGGCACTCAACCAAAGCGTTATCACACAGTGATATCTTACACTATCTGTCTTGATGAAGATGATGGAAGACATGTAAGACAGTTGGTTTTTCTCCCGACCCCCCTAATCGACCACTGCCTTAAAAAAAGGGTAATATTATAAAAAATCTCCACGCTAATATGTTGTCATTCTAGCCGAAAACAAACTGTCGCCTATCAATTTAAGACAGATTAAATGTTTATAACGTCACCTCCCAAATAAAACCTGTATTAATTTATATGTGAAACCGAACACTTCACACGGAATTAGGTGGGGGTGAACCCTTGAAGTCTGATCCTTACATGGGACATTATCGGGTATCATTATCGGAATAGCTGCAACATTGCTAATGCGGGGTTAAGCATACTCATTCACCATCCAGCTATCACAAATTACGGAAAACGCGATGTTATTCGCAAACACTTTCAACGTTCCCCGACCTAGAGCACCACAAGGCAGACACATTCGAACAGATGAAGTTACTAAAGCCAGGTAATTAATTAGCTGCGTCAGTGCTCTAAATTACGTACCAAGCAATGCAACTGTTTCGCATTAACAGAGAAAACACAGCCAATATTCGTCTTGTCTGATATTTGTGGAATCCGGACCATATGTCTGATTCCACCTTCCCCATGTGAGTGTCTCAAGTCAGTGTACCCCCCGCGGCACGTAAGTGGGATTCCACATCTGTTCATAATTGCCTTGGCAATACAATATGACCGTGTTTCCAAATTGCCGTATTTCAATGTAGTTTTGTTCTGTAAATAAACGTATCGTGTTACCCTTGATCTCAGAGCTTTCTCCATTATCTCTGAGCTATATTCTGACGGGTAGGCAGCATCTCGCACACAGTACAACAGGTGGATACGATGCTCCAGTGGATGAATGGGAAGATCATTTAAAGTCTTCGAATAATTCTTTGCCTCATACTTTTACTTTTACAGCCATGTGACCTACACTGTTACAACATTTCAGCATTCCACTTACAGTGGATAACCTTAGGGATGACATGCGTCAACCAAATCAGCCAGTCTGACCACCCACTCCCTTCAGTTGGCTCTTACGACAAGCATGGGTTGCTGAAGATCAATTCTAACCCGGATCTCCACGGGTGATAGGCTTGTACGATGTTATTACCTTCAGTGGCATAGCACTAAGAAATTGTCTTTCCATAAGAAGAACTCATTAACATCAATAACAGATTGGATGCCGCTATAGACTCACGTGATTAAATAGATGATAGTCAGCGTGCTTTCGGAAGGACTTCAGAACAGTGGGTTGTTTGCAGGACGTCGATTTGCTGACGAAAACCATTCATACTTTGTCCGGTCGCAATATCCGTGGCTGCGGAATCTGCTTGTTGTTTCGTTGTCTGGTCTAATGAACTCTGACGTTGCGCTGTTATATTGCTGATTGTAATTGGTTTCAAGTTGTCGCATCGACCGTCTGGATTACTAGAGTCCCTAAATCATAACTGGTGCCACTACTATTACTTACATTCAAACGAACAACGGCCACAGACTGCTACTGTAGTCTGTCATACAGATTCTGAAACAAGTTTATCCAAGAAGGCCCATGCAAGTCTAGAATGTGTGGCAAGTCTAGATTTCCACATCTTCTGAAAATGAAAAAGTATCAAGGCTCCTTTTCATTATATTTTTGTTTATCATGAACTGTAAGATTGTTCATTTCAGAAGACTAGTTGTTAGCCTAACTGCTACTGTTGGACAGGCTAGACTACATCTTCTGCTACCCTCGCTAACGTTTTGGATGATCAGGCTCCCAAATGACCGATTCACATGCTGCTCAGACTCGATTATTTACACCTTAAGTATTGCAGTGTGCAGCCTGAAACAGCACATAACACTAGTCCTGCTACATCCACAACTACTACACCAAACTTTGTTGCTAGTTAATAAGAGGCGACGGGATAGCCTAATTGTTGAAGCCCACCCTTCTGGTGATATTGGTAAAAGCGGCGTAAAACTCACTCACTCACTCGTTTGACTGTCTTAAGGAGCTTGTCAACAGATACTAAATTATATGCATTGTCTTTGATTTCGGCCACTTGAGAAACTCTACAGTAATATTGTAGTGATGTTATAGATAATATTATAGATGTATGAATTAATGGTTATGTATATACTCATGCCAATAATGGTTGTCACCCCGGCCCCCTTCCCCACTCAAACCCCCACACACCTCACACCCCCACCCCACACCAACTCTCCAACTAAAAAAATTGAAGGGAGTGACAACCATTATTGGCATGAGTGTACATGTAAGTGTGCTTATTATAAATATTGTAGAATAAACATAAGTATTGTATTGTGTAACAAAGTAGACAACGTAGAAGAACTAGTGTTTGTGTAGAATAGAAATAATGTATTAATATATGTACTTGCCGGAGACTCCCGGGATGACCGGCTGATGACCCGACAGGGTCAGCGGCCATGGGATATCCTGGGAGGCCTGAACGAAGCTCGGCAGTTGGGCTCTGGCCCGGAGAATATACGGCAGAAAGCTACATTCCCTGTGTTGTCGTATTTACAATGATACGATGAGTGGGAATTGAAATTCTGTGCTCTATCTGTGAGAGGTTCCCGTGGCCAGTCGTATCTACAAAATACCTCATTGTACAAGATTTTCGCGACTTCAGTTGCTTGCATTGTCCTCAGGTGAAGTAGTTCCACCCATTGGAGAAAGCACACGCATCGATGACATATAGACTAACAACTATTCTCTGAAATGAACATATTTTACAGAAAAAAAACTCAAAGTGAAAAAAATAAAATATAATGAAAAGGAGCCCTGAGACTTTCTTCATTTTCAGAGACTAAACAAATCTGCAGAGGGATAATTTCTTGGAATTTCACAACATGTACGAAGGTCCTTATCAGCCATTACTGCTGAAATTGTCTGTGACAGGAATATTTATTGCCCCCAACACCTCCTTGTGCCACTGTCAGTGGCGTGGGCCGTTTTAGGGTAATGAGTATCAAGTGTCGCCAAATCTATTTTGAGAGGAAGCAGGGATACCAGCTAAGAGTATCATCTCTTGATATTCCTATGGCTGGACAACTGGATCTAAAGTTACTTATTTTCTCCAAAATCCAAAGGTTCTGTCTGCACTATATGTGGAATTTTAATTGATGCTGCATCGAACAGGTGAAAATGTCTTTTTGATTGAAGTACTAAGACAGAGCCATGTTTTCTGATCGAAAAATATTCACAGGGAATGTTCTACACACACTGTGTATAGAAAATGTTTAGGTGAGGTCACTCGTGTGGAGAATGCTTTGTGCCTTGTAAAGAAATCTGTAACAAAAGTGTACCTATCATGTGGAACTGACGTGGAAAAGATGTACAGTAGGATTCAAATTGTATTTCTTTGGCAAAAGTAGAGACCTTAGATGCTGGTACATACTAATAAAAAACGGTTTTCGTCTTCAATCTATCGTTTTTTGCACACGAGGCCTAATCTGTCAATTTTAGTTTCTTTAACATATCTACCAGTTTAAATTCGAAGCCAGGGTGAAGAACATCTAAATTGAGAGAATATGTCTGATTTTAGCGACCCAGTTAGTTTTCCCCTTGGTACCATCTAGAACTAATAACTCATAAAAAAATTTCACAAATCTCGTGTCAGGCATATTGCATATTTTACACCAATAAGCAACGTCCCTTTTATAAGTAAAAATATACATTGGATAACGTCCACATTCTCACCTGACAAGATGATTTAACCCCACGAAATCGTTTACATGCAAACATTTGTAAAATTTCAACTTCTTTATAATTATCTGAAGCTATGGAAATCTAGACTTGCCACATTGTCTATACTTGCGTGGGATTTCTTCTGAAGCATATATTTACTTCAGGGTCTGTATGACAGACGACGAGGACATACTGATATCCATCTGCCGTTTTCTTCGGAGGGCCTACGATATCAACGTGTAACCTTGAGAGGTGAGGTGAGGTGAAATTGGGTTTAACGTCGTGCTTGAGAATACTTCGCTCATATGACGACGTGCATGCGTGTGTATGTGTATGTGTGGCTGCTTGTGCTAGCCCAGACTTAAAGCTGGTTTACAGTGCTAGCCCACTGAGATACCATGCCGCAGTGAAGCATGAATACCCCACTCAGACACATTATACTGACTCCGAGCCGACCAGTCATTGTTGCACCCATTAATGCCGAGCGCTAGGCAGGGACCAACAAGTACCATATTTTAACGTCTTTTGGTATGACGCGGTCGGGGATGGAACCCGCGACCTTCCGCTCACAATCAAGAGTAATAATGCCACCAGATTATACAGACTACTCTTCAACTACTGAGGGCAAGTAATACTGAGTGACCACGGGTTATTTCCTCTTTCAATAAACATAATCACAATAATGCGTGATTATCATATCCGAGTGAAACCACTTCATAAAGGCGAACTGTTGTACTTCGTTAAGTGAGGATATTGCGTTTGATGCCCGATGTAACGCCCTATTTTTACGTGTACTATTATGTTCTCGTGTTTTGCATATGCTAATGACGAGTGCCCCCTGTGGGGCAAGATCCCCTCACCATTTCACGAACACCTTTCATCATCACTAACTGATAGTGATTCAGAATTGCTTATGATATAGTCGGAATTGTACAATCGACTCTGCTTTGGGCAGACATTTCTAATGGATAGGGAAAGGATTTTGTCGCTCTCATTAGCTTGTTATAAGTCGAGTAAATTTCATTGAAGTATCAGAAGCCAGCAATATCTTACATCATATAGGGCATATGAGTGATTGTATCTTACATCATAAAGGGCATATGAGGATATACCCTCCCACTCAGAAATACACCTGCAGTATGTTTTTGTTCTGAGTTGGGTGAGAAGGATATACCCTCCCACTCAGAAATACACATGCAGTATGCTTTTTTTCTGAGCTGGGTGAGAAGGATATACCTTCCCACTCAGAAATACACCTGCAGTTGGGTGAGATGGATATACCTTCCCACTCAGAAATACACCTGCAGTATGTTTTTTTTTCTGAGCTGGGTGAGAAGGATATACCCTCCCACTCAGAAATACACCTGCAGTATGCTTTTTTTCTGAGTTGGGTGAGAAGGATATACCTTCCCACTCAGAAATACACCTGCAGTTGGATGAGATGGATATACCCTCCCACTCAGAAATACACCTGCAGTATGCTTTTTTTCTGAGTTGGGTGAGAAGGATATACCCTCCCACTCAGAAATACACCTGCAGTTGGGTGAGAAGGATATACCCTCCCACTCAGAAATACACCTGCAGTATGTTTTTGTTCTGAGCTGGGTGAGAAGGATATACCCTCCCACTCAGAAATACACCTGCAGTATGCTTTTTTTCTGAGCTGGGTGAGAAGGATATACCTTCCCACTCAGAAATACACCTGCAGTTGGGTGAGATGGATATACCTTCCCACTCAGAAATACACCTGCAGTATGTTTTTTTTCTGAGCTGGGTGAGAAGGATATACCCTCCCACTCAGAAATACACCTGCAGTATGCTTTTTTTCTGAGTTGGGTGAGAAGGATATACCCTCCCACTCAGAAATACACCTGCATCCTGTGTTCGTCGTAGTAGGGTATAAGGAAAATGTTCTCAGACTCAGGAATACAGGTGCAGTCTGTTTTCTTCGTAGTTCAGTAACCCATGCTTGTCGTAAGATACGACTTACACGATCGGGTGGTCACACTCGCTGACTTGGTTGACGCTTGTCATCGTATCCCAATTGCGTAGATCGATGCTCATGCTGTTGATCACTGGATTGTCTGGTACACACTCGATTATTTACAAACCGCCGGCATATAGCTGGAATATTGCTGAGTGCTCCGTTAAACAACCAAGCGACCAACCATCGTAGTTGGGTGTACGTGATTTATTCACTGCCTCGGAAATAAACGTTCAGTCTGTTTTCGTCGTAGTTGGGTATACGGGATATATTCTCAGGCTCGGAAATACACGTGCATTCTGTTTTCGTCGTAGTTGGGTATACGTGATTTATTCTCAGGCTCGGAAATACACGTGCCTCATTGTGTGCCATGATACAACAGTCTATATACTCTGTACCTGTTTATAAATATAGGATTTGTGTGTGAACTGGGGGATGAGTCTTCCTCTTATATATGTATTTCATTCCCACGCGTTATACATATTATATCATCAAGATAAAGTGATTTCAGGAGACTGACTTGAAGGAATGACAGTGTTCTTTTTTCAGGTCACATACAACTCTGTGTGCAATACAGTAAGTTAATTGTAAAAAGTTCACCCTCTGATTGTTCAGCCCTGTTAAACAACGTTTTAATTAATAACATAAAGCAATTACACTGGAAACTATATTTGTGTTATAATATTATCATTACTGTATAATGTACTTCTAATTGTGATGATGTATATCGTGGTTAATTTGTCTCCGTACCCCTTGCCTGTATTTGCATATAGAAAGCAAACTTTACTCTATCCTGTCCTACACAGACACATAATGTCGCTGTAACAGGTGATTGAAATAGGTTTAAGTATCAGTTAATGTCTGCTAATTGCCGTACTGAACTTCCAACACTGTTTAGTGTTGCGGGGCGGTTGGGTAGCCTAGTGGTTAAAGCGTTGGCTCGTCACGCCGAAGACCCGGGTTCGATTCCCCACATGGGCACAATGTGTTAAGCCCATTTCTGGTGTCCCCCGCCGTGATATTGCTGGAATATTGCTAAAAAGCGGCGTAAAACTAAACTCAGTCAGTCAGTTTAGTGTTGCAGCAATTTTGGTGGGAAGATCTTGAAAACAGGATGGTCATAGGTGAAGGGCAGACAGAACATTGACCTAGTGGGAAGTCGCTCAGTTAAAGTGTATAGTAGATTCAACGCCACAGCCACTCAACAGAATATGATGCGTGTATTTACGTTGAAGAATTGGTATGTATGGCTGTGTGAAGAGCTCCTACAATCATCTGACTGACACCGTGAAAGATACGGGCAACATGAGGACACGAGCGGTGTTCACTTCCATCTACTTAACAATATTTCAAGGCAGGAATCTAAACTTTCAGATATGAAGGATTCTATAGTTGTGTACCCGCTTGAAAAGTATATAGGATTTGGAGAATATTTTGAATTTATACGAGGGACTAATGTACTTTATTAGAGTTCGAGGTTCCTGAGAGCTAGATAATGTGGGAGCGAAAATGTGTTTGTGCTGTTAGTTACCCACTGATAAAGAAACAGGTAGTGACAAAGATAGTCCGAATGTCAGACAAGGTGGACCTCGATTTATCCGCCTCGACTGGCTAACAATGACAAGTTCTGTCTGATTTGAAATTACGAGGTTGTTGATTTTCACCTTTTCCTTGAAAAGCAGAACATGGATAAAATACGGAAACGATATCATTTAAATTCGGCTGGTGGTTTCAGGAAACCGGACTATGTTGACAGCACAGCAGGGACAGAAGGGTTCAGTTATACATATAGGACAATCAATGATCAAGCATTGGCTTGTGGTGTGTCCGCGTCAGTCAATACACTGAAGCATAATTACGGTTTTATGTAACCTTGGCAGGGATTCCAAATCGATCATGATATATCTGCAGGTATAGGTACATTGGTCCTGACACTATTTGTGTATTTTCCTTTGTGTCAGAAGTAGTCGACTGTGGTATGTGAAGGCTATGTGAGAGTTCTATCACACGTCTTGCAAGAGGTTATACCCTGTAACCATTTCTATGTCCCACTACCCTCTAAGATGGACCTAATAATGTATTCGTCATTCGCTGTTGGTACAGTTCATCAAGTACTGCAAGATAATGCGGACACACATAACATACAAACTCATAAATCATACAGTCATTCAGCGAGTTTATTATTAGATTGTTGCAGTCAACCCACCAATATGCCTGTGCCTTGGTGTCCGGTGCTTGGAGCCGCGAGTTTAGCCCTCTCCAGCTTGAAGAGCTCCGGCATCAGCTGGAGCCAGAAGAAGACACGTTTAGCCTGCAGGTGATGCTCCAGGGTCATGTTGGTGGTGAAGGAGAGGTAGGTTTCATCCTGGGAGTCAAATTGCGTCCATGTACTGCCGAGGTCCTGCTGTACGGCTGAACTTGGATTTCTACAACCAAAGTAGTACTTTATTTATCGTGGTGCATATTACCTCAGTCACCGAATTACATTATTAAGCTGATGCCATATATTAAAAATATGTGAAATTTACACATAAAAGTTGAGGACACTAACTTGTAAAGCGCCAGTGATGAGGTGTTATTGATCTTTGGTTTTGAGTGATGTCCCTTCTGGAGACTCTTGACATGGCCAACATGTGTTTTTGCAGGCTATCCGTGAAATATTAGCCTCAATCTGCACAGAGAATCAATTCGTGAGTGACTGTCCTATATTACTGTTGCTCAAAACTGACTCATTCCTGTAACGGACATGCCATTTGCCTTTGTAGAACTCTACTGCAAAATCAATATCAATATTATCATCTGTAATCGAGTGTTTAGCGTGAAGCCTATTTAATTTGTGTATTATCAATTGTAAATAATAATACTGTATAACTAGTGCGCAACTGTCAGTAATTCTTGAAATACGTACCCTGTTTTAGCAAACTCTGCCAAGAAGCTCACATATGTACTTGATAGGGTCTGTTCCTCCTGAGTGATGGGGCCGAGGAGTCCAAAGAGAGATACTGATATTGAACTGAGACCAAAGATATACGGAAGGTCGAATGCATGATACATGCCGTGTGTGCCACTTCCTTCAGCGAATGATGGGTAATGGTTGAAGTAGTAGAAATAGGTGTTGCCCGTCCCGCCATGATTTCCCTTGTCACAGTGTCTGCGGGCATATGCCACTGCAGGGGCTACAAAGGAGACGTCGCCGTAGGTGTGGAAAACAGCATTGATGTCAAGTAGTTTCTGGTTCTCTGTCCGCGGCGCTGTATACTCATATGATATGACGTCAGCCAAAAGGGCGTCATACTGCCCATAGGTTGACTTTAGGAGGTTGGGAATGAGTTTGTTGTTGTAGACAAAAATGGAATTTAGTGTTTTAGCAGTGGACGTGTTGTCTAGTCTGTCGAAAGTTTCCGCGTTCTCAAGAAGCAGCCCGCCTTCGTTGTTATTGACGCCCAGCATTGTGTCCACATCATAAAACCCAAGATCTGAGAGGTATGTTGCATTCTTGATCAAAGCACCAGGGTTGTTGGGCATAAAATATCCATCAACAACAGGCCCAGCATCCTGACGATCCGTCGCACTGAGCAGAACACTAGCTGGTTGGCCTCTCAGGCAGGCGACGGTCTGCTTGTCTGTTGCCTTCCTAGAACAATTCACTGCTGATGAAACGCTGTAAAGTTTTTCTCTGTATGTTTTGTCATTCGCCCAGTAAGCTGTGGCAGCTCCACTCTGCATTATAGCTCTTTTAAACAGACCCTTGGACCTTGGAGACAGTGTATGGAGGGACACACTCGCTGACCCCGCCGACTCTCCGACAATGGTGACACTGTTAGGGTCTCCCCCAAATGATGCAATATTTTTCTGAACCCATTCCAATGCCAGAACCTGGTCCAACAAACCAAAGTTACCTGGAGCTTCTGCGTTGCCTGTTGAGAGGAATCCAAACACACCCAGTCTATACTGGACAACCACCACAATGACGTCCTGCTCTGTCACCAGCTTTGCCGGCTCGTACAGAGGAGCACCGCCTGACTTGAAGGAACCACCATGGATCCACACCATCACAGACTTGGCTGAACCTCCAGATGTTGGAACATGGACACCTAAAGTCAGACAGTCCTCGCTCCAGGGGACGTTCAGAGAGCCGAAACCAAAATGTAACTGAGTACAAACCGGGCCATATCGTAAGGCTTGGAAGACACCTTTCACCCCTGGATGTGGACTCGGAGCTCGGAACCGGAGTTTCCCAGTAGGAGGCAGAGCATAGGGTATGGCATAATACGCGTTATACGTCTTGCCGGCTGGTGTGGTTTTAGTTATGCCTTGAATCTTACCCCAAGGACTGGAAATAAGAGGAGCAGCCTCAGCATAATAGAGTAACAGAAGAAGATATAGAATGCACTGCGTCATTCCCGAGATACCAGTACTAAAAGCACCTGAACTGTACTGCACTCTCATTTTAAGTTATCAGTAAAGGGGGTCTATCCTATCTTTCTCCAAACATGGAAAGTGCTCAGTCACGGTTCACAGTAAACTATATCTTATTTTTACAGTAATAGACAAATTGAATGCAAGATCTACTTTTAAAACACGCCTTTGTCCATCTAAAAATAATAATACTGTACGTCTCTTATTAAGAATCTGACACAAATACATGTGAAATTAAAATCCCGACGCAATATTACAATACTTTGGCCAACATATAGTGTGTTTACTACATGAAATTATATTCTCATTTAATTTATAAACCATCAACAGCCTTTTCCACTTAGTGAAAGCTTATGAAGTGTGAACCTCTATTCAAGGAGATCCGTATGCTGGAAGTTTCACAATCTAAAGAACTGACACAAAGTGAATCTGTAAATGTGAATATATATATTATAAGTTTTACTCGGTATCACATAGCGCCGGAACACGTTGATTTCCGTGCCCATAGGCGACAATGTTAACGTTTGTATGTTCTAATACATTCATTATATAGTCTCTCCAGTAGCATTCTATGCAGACTTGACTAACATTATGAAAGATGATTACGTCTATTGAGAAGGTTAACGTGGGGCGAGAAGGATATACTCTCCCCTCAGAAATACACATGCAGCCTGTTTGCTTCGCACTTGGGTGTAAGGAATATACTCTCAGGTTCAGGAAAACGCGTGCAGTCTGTTTTCTTGGCAGCGGGGTATACAGGATATATTCTCCGGTTCACAACTACACTTTCTTGTGTTCCTCGTCGTCTTAATTTCATCTATGACTTCATGGTATGTCTTCAGTTCAAACAGATTGACCTTGAAGTATGGCGACCACTTTATGTTGGGGACCCGTGAAGATCCCGGGTAGAATAGGTCTTTAGCAACCCATTCTTGTCAAAAAAGGCGACTATGCTTGTCGTAAAAGGCGACTATAGGGATCGGGTGGTCAGGCTCGCTGACTTGGTTGACACATGTCATCAGTTCCCAATTGCGCAGATCGATGCTCATGCTGTTGATCACTGGATTGTCTGGTCCAGACTCGATTATTTACAGACCGCCGCCATATAGCTGGAAATTGCTGAGTGCGGCGTAAAACTAAACTCACTCACTCACTCACTTTATGTTGGTCATTATGGGAGCGTTCAGGGTCATGATTTTCTCATCGCCCCAGACTGACAGTGTGTTGTTGGGTGCCATGATCCAACAGTCTATATAAATATACTCTCTACCCATTCCTAAATGTAGGAATTGTGTGTGAAATGGGAGATGTGTCTTCCTCTACTGAAGTAATCCTGCAGTAATCTGACTAGCAGGCGTTTGCGTTTACACTGAACAATTGTTATACATCATGTAAACGACGACGGCTGTGTGAAGAGCTCCTACGATCCCCTGACGGACACCGTGAAAGATACGGGCAACGGGAAGACACGAGTGGCGTTTACTTCCGTCTACTTAACAATATTTCAAGGCAGCTGAGAGAATCTACTTTTAGATATGAAGGATTCTATACTTGTGTACCCGCTTAAAACATAGATCGGTTTTGGAGAATATTTTGAATTTATTTGAGGGACTAATGTACTTGATCAAAGTTCGGGGTTCCTGAGAGCTAGATAATGTGGGAGCGAACATGTGTTTGTGCTGTTAGTTACCCACTGATAAAGAAACAGGTGGTGACATAGATAGTCCGCATGTCAGACAAGGTGGACTTCGTTTTATCTGCCTCGACTGGCTAACAATGATAATTTCTATCTGATTTGATATTTCGAGGTTGTTGATTTTCACTTTTTCGGCATAGGGTCGTAACATGGGTTTCCTTGAAAACAAGGACACGGATAAAATAAATCATTTAAATTCGCCTGGTAGTTTCAGGAAACCGAACTATGTTGACAGCTCAGCAGGGACACCAGCATATTTACGGTTTTATGCAACCTAGACAGGGATTCCAACTCGATAATTATATATCTGCAGAAATAGGTCCATTTGTCCTGACACTATTTGCGTATTTTACTCTGTGTCAGAAATGGTCGACTGTGGTGTGTGATGAGTACGTGAGAGATATGTCCCAAGTCTTGTAAGAGGTTATACCCTGTAACCATTTCTATGTCCCACTACCAACTAAGATGGACCTAATAGTGTATTCGTCGTTCGCTGTTGGTACAGTTCATCAAATACTGCAAGATGATGCGGACACACATAACATACAAACTCATAAATCATACAGTCATTCAGCGAGTTTATTATTAGATTGTTGCAGTCAACCCACCAATATGCCTGTGCCTTGGTGTCCGGTGCTTGGAGCCGCGAGTTTAGCCCTCTCCAGCTTGAAGAGCTCCGGCATCAGCTGGAGCCAGAAGAAGACACGTTTAGCCTGCAGGTGATGCTCCAGGGTCATGTTGGTGGTGAAGGAGAGGTAGGTTTCATCCTGGGAGTCAAATTGCGTCCATGTACTCCCGAGGTCCTGCTGTACGGCTGAACTTGGATTTCTACGACCAAATTAGTACTATTATTTATCGTTGTGTTTATGAACTCAGCCAATGAATTACATTTTTACGCTGATGCCATTAATCCTATGCCGAATATTAAAAACATGTGAAATTTACACATAAAAGTTGAGGACACAAACTTGTAAAGCGCCAGTGATAAGGTGTTATTGATCCTGGGTTTTGAGTGATGTCCCTTCTGGAGACTCTTAACATGGCCAACATGTGTTTTTGCTGGTTATGCGTGAAATATTAGCTTCAATCTGCACAGGGAATCAATTCGTGAGTGTCTGTCATATGTTACTGTTGCTCAAAACTGACCCATTCCTGTAACGGACATGCCATTTGCCTTTGTAGAACTCTACTGCAAAATTAATATCAATATTATAATCTTTAATCGAGTGTTTAGCGTGAAGCCTATTTAATTTGTGTATTATCAATTGTAAATACATGTTGGTAGAATTCATAGATAATGTATAACTAGTGCGCAACTGTCAGTAATTCTTGAAATACGTACCCTGTTTTAGCAAACTCTGCCAGGAAGTTCACATATGTACTTGATAGGGTCTGTTCCTCCGGAGTGATGGGGCCGAGGAGTCCAAAGAGAGATACTGATATTGAACTGAGACCAAACATATACGGGAGGTCGAATGCATGATACATGCCGTGTGTGCCACTTCCTGCAGCGAATGATGGGTAATGGTTGAAGTAGTAGAAATAGGTGTTGCCCGTCCCGCCACGATTTCCCTTGTCACAGTGTCTGCGGGCATATGCCACTGCAGGGGCTACAAAGGAGACGTCGCCGTAGGTGTGGAAAACAGCATTGATGTCAAGTAGTTTCTGGTTCTCTGTCCGCGGCGCTGTATACTCATATGATATGACGTCAGCCAAAAGGGCGTCATACTGCCCATACGTTGACAATAGGAGTTTGGGAATGAGTTTGTTGTCATAGACAAAAATGTAGTTTAGTGTTTTAGCAGTGGACGTGTTGTCTTGTCTGTCGAAAGCTTCCGCGTTCTCAAGAAGCAGCCCGCCTTCGTTGTTATTGACGCCCAGCATTGTGTCCACATCATAAAACCCAAGATCTGAGAGGTATGTTGCATTCTTGATCAAAGCACCAGGGTTGTTGGGCATAAAATATCCATCAACAACAGGCCCAGCATCCTGACGATCCGTCGCACTGAGCAGAACACTAGCTGGTTGGCCTCTCAGGCAGGCGACGGTCTGCTTGTCTGTTGCCTTCCCAGAACAATTCACTGCTGATGAAACGCTGTAAAGTTTTTCTCTGTATGTTTCGTCATTCGCCCAGTAAGCTGTGGCAGCTCCACTCTGCATTATAGCTCTTTTAAACAGACCCTTGGACCTTGGAGACAGTGTATGGAGGGACACACTCGCTGACCCCGCTGACTCCCCGACAATGGTGACACTGTTAGGGTCTCCCCCAAATGATGCAATATTTTTCTGAACCCATTCCAATGCCAGAACCTGGTCCAACAAACCAAAGTTACCTGGAGCTTCTGCGTTGCCTGTTGAGAGGAATCCAAACACACCCAGTCTATACTGGACAACCACCACAATGACGTCCTGCTCTGTCACCAGCTTTGCCGGCTCGTACAGAGGAGCACCGCCTGACTTGAAGGAACCACCATGGATCCACACCATCACAGACTTGGCTGAACCTCCAGATGTTGGAACATGGACACCTAAAGTCAGACAGTCCTCGCTCCAGGGGACGTTCAGAGAGCCGAAACCAAAATGTAACTGAGTACAAACCGGGCCATATCGTAAGGCTTGGAAGACACCTTTCACCCCTGGATGTGGACTCGGAGCTCGGAACCGGAGTTTCCCAGTAGGAGGCAGAGCATAGGGTATGGCATAATACGCGTTATACGTCTTGCCGGCTGGTGTGGTTTTAGTTATGCCTTGAATCTTACCCCAAGGACTGGAAATAAGAGGAGCAGCCTCTGTGTAACAGAGAAATAGAAGAAGATATAGAATGCACTGTGTCATTCCTGAGATACCAGTACGAAAAAGACCTGAACTGTACTGCCCTCTCTTTTTAACTTATCAGTAAAGCGGCCCTTTCTTATCTTTCTCTACATATAGAAAGTGCTCAGTCACAGTTCATCAGAATCTATCTGTCTGTCTGTCTGTCTGTCTGTCTGTCTGTCTGTCTGTCTGTCTGTCTGTCTGTCTGTCTGTCTGTCTGTCTGTGTGTGTGAGTGAGTGAGTGAGTGAGTTAAAATTTATCGTCACATCGGCAATATTTCAGCCATATCGTGACGAGAACAATTAATTGGTACACATAGTAAGTAATAGTAAATTATAAAAGCCTGCCTACGAAGGACAGTAAAATAACTAGATTATCACAGATATACATATAAAACTAGCGAACAAAGCTAAAATATTCCAATTAAAGAAGACAATACAATGTAAAAATGGGCTATAGATCGCCAACAACTGAAGGTAGATCACCATACTAAGGCCCATGGGGG